CCCTCTACTTTCTTAATGTAAGCATTTATAGCTATAAATGTCCCTCTAGATACTGGTTTTACTGCATCCCATTTTAGTATGTTGTGTTTTCATTTGTCTCAGGATTTTTTTTTTTTTTTTAAGTAGGCTACATGCCCAGTGTGAGGCTTGAACTCACCATCTCAACTTCAAAAGTTGCATGCTCTACTGACTGAGTCAGCCGGGTACCCCTGTCTCCAGATATTTTTTAAATTTCCTGATGTATTTTTCAACTCATTCATTGTTCAAGAGTATATATTGTTTAATTTCCACATATTTCTGAATTTTCCAGTTTTCTTTTTGCTTTTGATTTCTGGGTTTATTCCATTGCTGTTGGAAAAGATACTTGTTATGATTTCTGTCTTAAATCTAAAACCTGTTTTTGACTTAACATGTAATCTGTCCTAGAGAATGATCTGAATGTGTTAAGAGGGTGTATTCCCTTCTGCTGCTGTAAGGTGGAATGTTCTGTGTATGTCTGTTAGGTCCTTTTGGTCGGTGGTGGTGTTTGAGTCCTCTGTTTCCTTCCAGTTTTCTGTCTGGATATTCTGTATCTATTTTTGAAAATGTGGTATTGCCATCTTCTATTATTGTATTAGTGTTTATTTCTTCCTTCACTTCTGTCAGTGGTTGATTTAATATTTAGATGCTCTGATGTTAGGTACATCAGAATAAATACAGAGATGTGTTTATAATTGTTATATCTTCTAGGTGGATTGACCCTTTTATCATTGTCTCTTATGACAGTTTTTGACATAAAGTCTATTTTTGTCTGTTATAAGGTTTGTCCCCTTCCTCCTGCTGTCTTCTGGTTACTATTTGCATGGAGTATCTTTTCCGTCCCTTCACTTTGAGCCTATGTGTGCCCTTAAATCTAAAGTGAGTCTCTTGGGGTGCCTGGGTGACTTAGTCGGTAAAGCGTCTGACTTCAGCCCAGGTCATGATCTCATGAACCGTGAGCTCGAGCACCCCTTCGGGTTCTGTACTCACAGCTCAGAGCCAAGAGTCTGCTTTGGTTCTGTCTCCCTCTTTTTGCCCCTCCCCTGCTCATGCTCTGTCTCTCTGTCTGTCTCTCTCTCTCTCAAAACTAAAATTTAGGGGCGCCTGGGTGGCGCAGTCGGTTAAGCGTCCGACTTCAGCCAGGTCACGATCTCGCGGTCCGTGAGTTCGAGCCCCGCGTCAGGCTCTGGGCTGATGGCTCGGAGCCTGGAGCCTGTTTCCGATTCTGTGTCTCCCTCTCTCTCTGCCCCTCCCCCGTTCATACTCTGTCTCTCTCTGTCCCAAAAATAAATAAACGTTGAAAAAAAAATTTTTTTTTTTAAATAAAAAAAAAAAAATTCAGCCTTTGTCTTTGGGGAGTTTAATCCATGTACATTTAAAGTAATTATTGATAGGGTAGGATTTACTGTTGCCATTTTGTCTTGTTTTTGTGAGTGGCTTTTAGGTTTTTTCCCTCTTTTCATTTCTTGCTGTCTTCCTTTGTGTTTCCTTGTTTTTATGTAGTGACACACTTAAGATTTCTTTCTCATTCTTTTGCATATCTTCTGTAGATATTTTTATTGTGGTCACCATAGGACTTACATAAAAGATCTTGTAGCAATCTATTTTAAGCTGATAACAACTTCAATCACATACAAAAACTGTTTTTGCTTCTCCCTGGCCCCCCCACCCCCACCCCAGCACTTTCTTAACTCAAATAAGTCATTTAAAATTTTTGTACATAAGGGGTTTTTTTTCCTGTAAAAATAGGAATAATAATCTATTGTTAAAAAAAATTTATTCTGTTAACCCAGGGGTTCTCAAAGTATGGTTTGCACACCCATAGAGTCCCTGAGAATTTTTCAACAGGTTGCATGTCGTCCAAACTGTTTCCACAGTAATTCTGAGATGTTATTTGTCTTTTTCACTGTGTTGACCTTTGTAGTGATGGTGCAAAGGCAATTGTGGGAAAACCTGCTGGCCTTGGGCCAGATTGTAATCGTCATTTTGTGCTGCTACATACTCCCAATAAAACTAAGTGCCGCTTTTACTGAAAGATGTCTTTGGGGAAGTAGATAATTAACTTTATTAAATCTAAACTCTTGGGTGCATGTATTTTTTAAGATGTAAATGTTTTTATTTTATTTTTAAGTTTTTAAAGTCCAGTTCGTTAACTTACAGTGTAGTATTAGTTTCAGGTGTGCACTTCTGTACAAAACCTAGAGCCCATCACAACATGGGTGTATGGCTTTGTTTTTGTGAGCTGAATTAGCTGCTTATTTAATGGAATACCATTTTTACTCCAAAGAATGACTACGGTTACAGACTTGGGTATTTGCCAGATATTTTCTTGGAAATGAATGAATTAAGCTTGACATTTCACGGAAAACAGCTGACAGTATTTGCCCGTGGGTAAAGTTTGAGCTTTTCAATGAAAATTAGAATTTTGGAAAACTCGTATTCACCACCTTATGCTTTGACAGCTTTAAAGAGTGTTCTGATAAGATGTTTGTGATATTAATGATGTGATTTCTTTTTTTATACTATATGATGCAGGGCATCAACATTTGAAAGGTCTACATAAGTCAGTGAACCAATATTTTCCAAAATATTCCAAAAAATTTACGTCGGGGCACCTGGGTGGCTCGGTTGGCTAAGCATCCAACTTAATCTTGACTTAGGCTCGTATCATGATCTCAAGGTTTGTGAGAGTGAGCCCCGCCCACATTGGGCTCTGTGCTGACAGTGTGGAGCCTGCTTGGGATTCTCTGTCTCCCTCTCTCTCTGCCCCTGCCCTGCTCTCTCGCTTTCTCTCAAAAATTAATAAGCATTTAAAAATTTTAAAAATATGTATATATGATGTAATAAAATCATGAGTAAAAGGTCTCCTAACATGGGAGATACACCATTGGATTTTAATATAACAGACAAGTTCACTGATAGGGTTTGCACTTCTACCATTCTAACTTACCGTTAAGAAACTACCACTGTCACATTTGGGTGTAGTATCAAAGAAGAATTTATCCACAGTGATCTCAAACAGCCATTAAAATACTCCTTTTCCCATCTCTGCCTATCTGAGGCAAGAGTTTCTTAATATAGGTAAAAGGAAACCCATTCCTCTATTCACAATACTTGTGACACCAAACATGTGGGCTTTCCACACCAAGCACTTCTCCAGTTCTCTCTGTGGTCAGTAACTGGGGGTCCTACTGTTCAATTCATTCTGGCCATAACTACCCAGAGTTAGCGCAGACCTCACAGGTTAAGGGCGCTGTTCCACAAGATTGCCTCCCACTTCAGATGCCAGTCGCAAGTCCCAACTACATTTGTCACCTGTACTTCTGGCCAACCAGCTATAAATGTGGGATTTCCACAGCCTCTCCTCAGGTTCTGTAATCTCTTATGATAGCTCACAGAACTTTGGGAAACATTTTATTTACATTTATTGGTTTATTTTAAAGTACATCAAGGGGTGCCTGGGTGGCTCAGTTGGTTAGGCGTCTGACCTTTGGTTTTAGCTCAGGTCATGATCTCATGGTTTGTGAGTTTGAGCCCCACGTTGGGCTCCAGGCTGACAGCATGGAGCCTGCCTGGGATTCTTTCTCTCCCTCTCTCTCTACCCCTCCCCTGCTTGCTCTCTCTGTCTCTCAAAATAAATAAACTTAAATAATAATAAAGTACATCATAAAGCATGGAAACGAACCACCAAATGAAGAGGTGTATAGGGCAAGGTCAAGAAGATCCCAAGTACAAAGCCTTTGTCTCTGAGGGGTTGGGGGTGTGCCACCCTCCCAGCACATAGATGCATTCACCAACCTGGAAGCTCTGAACCACTTCATTTAGGGTTTTCATGGTTCTACAACATGGGCATAATTGATTAAATTATTGGCCATTGGTGATTAACTTGATGATCCCCAGCCCCTCTACCCTCCCTGGAGGTTGGGGAGTGGGGCTGAAAATTCTAGTTCTGTAATCACACAGTTTGTTCCTCTGGCAACCTGCCCCATTCTGCAAGTCACCTCATTACCATAAACACTCCTGTGGTTGAAAGGGGCTCATTATGAATAACAAAATATGCTCCTCTCACCCCTGCTGCTTAGGAAATTCTAGGGGTTGCTTTTAGAAGCTCTGTGCCAGAACCAGAATGAACAGTGTGTGTGTACACGCACCAGCACATTAGAATATACTTCAGCCAACACAGAATAGTACGGCAGATTGAATGCCAAGGCAGATCATGAAAGTCCAGCAGTTTGCTATCAAGACAAAGAGCATTGCAAAATGTAAAACAAAGCCCATTTCTCACTAATTTTTTCAGTTTGGAAAATCTTTTTTTTTTTTCCACATAAAAAATACTGTTTATGTTAACTTACAACAGATTTAATATTGTTAATTTTAACCGAATCAATAATTTTCTTATTTTTTATTTCTCATATGTTAATACCTGTAGATAAAACTCACATTAACAAAAGCTCTTTAGGTTCTTCAATTTAACTTAAGGTTGCAAAGAAGTCCTGAGACTAAAAAGCTTGAGATCTGTTGTTTTAACCTTCTAGGGTTGTTGAAAGTCGAACGAAGGTATTCATAAACCTGAAATCATTTTGTAAAATATTTAAAGTGCAGGTTTATAAATAATTTTGCAGTTCCTGCTGTTAACATTGCTGAGCAAGTCCCTTACGTTGAGATTTTGGAGAAGAGACATGGAAAGAGGACATGCATAAATAATTGCTGTTAAGGAGCAGTTGGTTAGTTTAGAGGAGGAATAGGGGGCGGAATTCAGGCGTAACTTCTCTGTTCCACAAACCAAACGGTGAAGAAGCAACAGTGTTTTCTCCCGTACATATTTTTTTATATATTTATATTTGCAATAAATGTGGATGTGTTTGTGTGTGTGCACGCACACACTTGGGCATACAGCAAACAGCCCCACTGTTCATGATTGTAGCCCATTACTGGTCCAAGTGTGCTTTGAATTTTGAAGTTGTCCCCTTCTTCCCTTGCAGGCATAGAACAAGATGCAGTGAATACTTTTACCAAATACATATCTCCAGATGCTGCTAAACCAATACCGATTACAGAAGCAATGAGAAATGACATCATAGGTAAGCAGTGCTTGAAGCTATGGCAAAAAAAATAAATAATGCCTGTTTTTGGTTATTACTTAAGAGAATCTTTTATGAAAATGGAAGTCAACATATCCCTTCTTAGTCTGTGTTCAGAGTACTTTAGTATATCAACTGTAGCTCACTTAAAAATTTTCTCTTCATACGTCAGATGTAAATTCTTGGACTTTGGCTCAAATAACAGCAGCAGCAAAAACAATAGTGACACTCAAAAATGTTGAATTCTTACTGTGTCCCAGACAGCATTATAAGCACTTTCTGTGGATAAACTCTAACCTTCTAAAAACCTGTAATATAAATACAGTTATTATTTTATAAATGAGAAATCTGAAGCACAAAGAGGGGATTTAATTATTTGTCCAAGATAACACACCTCAGACATAGCAGACTCAGGATTTGAAAACAGACCGCTACAGGGGCACCTGGGTGGCTCAGTCAGTTAACTGTCTGACTTCAGCTCAGGTCATGATCTCGTGGTCGGTGGGTTTGAGCCCTGTGTCAGGCCCTTGTGCTGACAGCTCAGAGCCTGGAGCCTGCTTCAGATTCTGTGTCTCCCTCTCTCTCTGCCCCTCTCCTGCTCATGCTGTCTCTCTCTCAAAAATAAAAACATTAAAAAAAGAAAAGGTGAGAAAATAGACCACTACACATTGACTGGTATGCTATTTGGCAGTGTTTTTCATACTGTAAATTCAGACTAGTCTCCTCTTATGACCACACCTTCCTGCCAAAAAAAGACTAGAATAGAAAAACGAAAGTGCGGGGCGCCTGGGTGGCTCAGTCGGTTGAGCGTCTGACTTTGGCTCAGGTCATGATCTCGCCGTCTGTGGGTTCAAGCCCCGCGTCGGGCTCTGTGCTGACAGCTCAGAGCCTGGATTCTGTGTCTGATTCTGATTCTGTGTCTCCCTCTCTCTCTGCCCCTCCCTGACTCATGCTCTCTCTCTGTCTCAGAAATAAATAAGCATTAAAAAAAAAAAAATTAAAAAAAAAAAAGAAAAATGAAAGTGCTTCACAGTAGTAAGGGCAAACCTCATTTCAGGAAATTGTTTTCATCATATGTTTATGTATGTATATACTATGTCATGTAAACCTATTTCTCTGTAGGTCATAGTAAAAAAAAAAAAAAAAAAGTTTTTACTCCGTTGTATAAGAAGGACCTTAGAGGCACCTGTAATCACAGATGAAAGTGATTTGTTTATTCATTAAACAAACGTTTATTATGTTCCCATCAAGTCCTGGTACTGAGTTTTATATTTTTATTACAGAAACTTGATATTTTTGATTTATGAAATATAGCATGTTATTCTTCTAGCAGATTCTTCCCAGCATGGGGCTCTTTCAGTCTTTATCACAGATACTTTGCATTCATTCATTATTGGAGACAGCAAAACCTTTTCCTGTCTAAACTGTAGTTCTTAATTTGGCCCACCATACTTTCCAGTGAACAACTGTTGACTATTTTAGGGCTTGTCAGATGTTGGCCCCATTGTTTTCCTTTTGTTTCTCCCACACAGACTCTTATACAGGTCTTGAGGCTGTTGATTGTCCCCATTTGCTTGTATTTTGGGTTTTCACCCAGTTTTGTTGCAAATGTTGTCTTTGGAATTTGGCCTTTCTATGCAGTTCCTCTATTTTTATGTGGGAATTTGTTACAACCATCTTCCACACTTCTCTAGACCAGCATTTCCTCTGCAACAGGACAACTGGGGTGTGCTAACTGATTAGAATTTGGCTATTTGAGATATTGATTGGCTAGTGATTCCTTTGGGGATTTGTTTGTGTCAGTGAATAACCAAACTATGCAGGGGTAGGGGAGAAAAGGGGGGTGGGGTTCAAGTAATATATTTAAAAATGAAATATCACTTCAATTATTTTCTTTCCTTTTCTTTATCAAATTAATGATATAATCCCGTGAGGGGAAAAAAATCTTTTGAAGTATAAGTTGGTAACATTTAGTGATCAAGAGATCTGAGAAAGTTAAAATGTTAATTACCTATGTTTTTAGACCATTTTTCTTCTTTGAACCTCATTCTTCTGAATCCTACCCCGTTTTCTTCTCTTTCAGTTAGAATATGCGTTTTTTCTTTTTTAATGTTTATTTTTGAGAGAGAGAGAGAGCACAAGCGACAGAGGGGCAGAGAGAGAGGGAGACACTAAATCCAAAGCAGGCTCCAGGCTCCGAGCTGTCAGCACAGAGCCCGGTGCGGAGTCGAACTCTGAGCCATGAGATCATGACCTGAGCTGAAGTCAGATGCTCGACCAACTGAGGCACCCAGCCGCCCCTGGAATACTCTACACAGCTCTACTTCAAGTACATCACAGTTGGAAGAAGTCTGCACTTAAGCTGTTATTGTGTATCCCACCTGCCTAGTTTGGTTGTAAATGTTATCCATGGGTTTCTGGTATTGCTGGCTCATTACTCCCTGTTTATATGGGGACTCAGAATAACCCAAAAACTGTGCTTCCACTGCTTCCTTCATCTTCTGCAAATCCTTGAAGTGGTAGAATTTTAAAGATATTTTGAAGGTATAGCTGATAGAATTTACTGATGGTTTGAAGTTGAGTAGTGTGAGAGGGGAAAAAGGCATTAAGCATGACTTCATGTTTGTTTGTTTGTTTTTCAAACCTGAATAATGGGGCACCTGGGTGGCCATCAGTTGAATGTAAGACTCTTGATTTCAGTTCATGCCATGATCCCAGGGTCATGGGATCGAGCTTTGCTTCGGGCTCCGTACTGGGCTTGGAACCTGCTTAAGATTCCCTGTCCCTTTCCCTCTGCCTCTCTCCCCCTGCTCGCTGGCTCATATGCTGTCACTCTCTCAAATAAACAAACAAACCTGAATAAGAGAGTGGAGTTATCATTTATAAACTTGAAAAAAAAATTTTTTTTAACGTTTATTTAGTATTGAGAGACAGAGCACGAGCAGAGGAGGAGCATAGAGAGAGGGAGACACAGAATCCGAAGCAGGCTCCAGGCTCCGAGCTGTCAGCAAAGAGCCCAACATGGGGCTTGAACTCATGAACTGTGAGATCACTACCTGAGCCGAAGTCGGTCGCTTAACCGACAGAGCCACCCAGGTGCCCCTGGAGTTGCCATTTATAAGATGAGGAAGACTGTGAGGGTAATGGCTTATGGGGAAAATCAGGAGTTTGGGTGTTCACTAAATGGTGAATGTCAAGTATGCAGCTGGATATCTGCACTAGGAGTTCGTGAAAGAGGTGTAGGTTGAAGATACATGTTTAGAAGTCACCAGCATATAGGTGGTTCAGAGCCACGGATAACATTACCCTCAGCATAAATATGATGAGTAAAGACAAAGAAGTCTTAAGCACCCAGTTCTGAGGCAGGCCTGATATTTACAAGTCTGGCAGGTGAGGAAGAACTAGCAGAAACTCAGGAGTAACAGCTAGTAAAGTAGGCCCCGCTTTATCAGCTCTGTCTCAGGACAGTAGTTCTTTTCTGGAAGCCAAGTGAAAAAACGTTTCTGAGGGTAAGGGAGTGATCGAAGGTGTGTTAAATCCTGCTGAGAGGTTAAGTAAGATGAGTACTAGGAATGGAATGGACTTGCCAGCCCTGTGGACAACTGGCCCACTGGTTATCTTAATTTCAGGGTACCAGTGGAGACGAAAACTTCATCAGAGGAGTCTTAGAATAGGAGGCGGAGTGGAGACAGCAAGTATGAGCAACTCTTTGAGGCATCTTGCTCCAGGGATAAACTGAAAGGGGATGTTAAGTCAAGGGCCAGTGGGTTTTGTTTTTGTGGTGATGTGTTATACGCATATAAGGTATAGCATACAAGCAAGTTCATATGTGTAACATACAGACAGACTGTATATAGCTGGTGAATATGAGGCAGCAGCAAAGAAGCGATGCAGGAGACCAAGGGGACAGTTGCTGTAAGAAAGAAGTCTTGAGGCAAGAGGAAGGGGTCCGGTGCTCAAATGCAGGGTGTGTGGGTAGAGGTGCAGGTGAGTTGGTAGATGTGGTGGCAGGAGATGGAAATAATTTTCTGACTGCTTCTATTTTCTTAATGAAGTAGGAAGCAGAGTAATCAGCAAAGAGAATTCGAAGATGTATATCATTTTTAAAGAGGGAGAAGAAGATGTGTGTTGTCCGGTAGAGTATGAGAGAAAATGGCCCAGGAGACTGTAGTATGATCCTTGGGTTTCATTAAGGTCGTGCTAAAGTCATGAACTTAAAGTGAAACCAGCCATCGTGGGCGGGAGGGTTTCAGCCATGTTTGATAGCTGGCTAACCAACGGGCTTACCCACTTGCTGCAGTTGATTTAGGTAATTCCTAATTTTAGCACACTTTGTGTTTCTTCCAAATAACATTTTGCTAAACTTTTTACAGATAAACCTTTTTACAAATCCATAACTCTTTAGGTTGCAGTCTTAGAAATAGAATTGCTGATTGAAAGGGCATGTTTATTTTTAAAGCTTATGCTAGAAACTACCAGAATGCCCTCCGGAAAATTATATACCACTATTTTCCCACAAATGCTAGTGTCTGTTTTCCCATGCCCTTGCTCAAACAAGGCAGTGTAGTGTTACACAATTAAACATATGCATTGTTGTACAGTTTTGTGCCAATTTGCTAGACAAAAGGTGGGGTGCCTCATTATTCTAATTTGTAGTTATATTTATTTGATTACCAGCGAGCATGCATATCTTTGCATATTGGCCATTTTATAATTTGTTCTTTTAAAAAAAAAAAAAGTTTTGTTTTTTTTTCCATTGATCTCTGTACCCAGCATGGGGTTTGAACTCATAACCCCGAGATCAAGAGTAGCATGCTCTTCTGACTGAGCCAACCAGGCGCCCCTATATTTGTTCTTTTGTAAACTGTCTTTTCATGTCCTTGGCTCATTTTTCTTCCAGGACATTTCTTACTAGTTTGTAGGAGCTCTTGATATATGAATGATAATAATCTATCACATACAAAGTAAATTGTCATTCACGCTGTGAATTTTTTTGCACCAGTTGTTTTATTTTGTTTCGGAGGTGTTCTCGTGTATAAAAATTAATTTTATGTTGTTAAATCTTTTGATTTCTACTTTTGTGTATATGCTTAGAAAGACCTTCCCTACCTCAAGATTAGCCGTGCACCTGTATTTTTCTTAGCTCTATTTAAAACTTTCTGATTCATATGCCTCTACCTTTATTCCTCTGATTCCCAAAGGTGTATAGTTCAGATTTAGTAGAAATTTATTTACCATTTCTTTTACAGCAAAGATTTGTGGAGAAGATGGACAGGTGGACCCCAACTGTTTTGTTGTGGCACAGTCCATAGTCTTTAGTGCAATGGAGCAAGAGTAAGTTAATTACATACTTTCCCATTTGCGTTTTCGGGATCTGGGTTCACTCAACTAAAAACAAATGGTCTCTGAGGACTTAAGTATTTTGAATGTTTACAGGATCGTATAAGCATACTCATGCTCTAAGACTACTTTGGTTAATGGTGTCTTTTAAATATAAATTATGTGAACTCTTAAAAATAATAAAACCCGTGTTCATTTTTAATGTTAATATTTCCCAGGTTAAAAGAATTTGTTTTTAATTCTGAAGTCATTTGGGGGTGATGTGGGTGTAGTGTGACTGTTACAATTGGTTTCTGTTCAAACAATGCACGTGTGCAGGTGGATATCCTAATTTGTTAGTGCATGCTTTAGGCTTAATGGATGCTATTACTTCTAAATCCACATAGATTTGTTGAAACGGCCTCCAAAGTTGTTTTGTTTTGTTTTGTTTTGTTTTAGATTAATTACTGCTGCATGCCCTTAAAAAAAAAAAATCTACATATTGATTCATTTAGCATTTCTGAAAAGGGTGCTCTGTGCAAGGCACAGTTAGATACAATGCCTGCTTTAAAGAAAATTAGAGCCTAATGAGAGAAATAGGGCATGATCTTTGGTTACCGTAATAGGAGGTAGCATGTGTCACAGAGGAAAACTACAAAGCCACCAAGAGCGGGGAGAGATTATTTCCAGGTGTAAGAACCAGGAACGACACCAGGGGAAGGGAGGTAGTGTTGACCTAGGCTTTTAAGATACAACAGGCACAGAATGGAAAGAGTGTATTTTTCCCAGTTAAGCTCTTTCCTTGGTCGTTCCCTCAAATTTTCCCTTTTTGTCCATGTGCAGGCACTTTAGTGAGTTTCTGCGAAGTCACCATTTCTGTAAATACCAGATTGAAGTGCTGACCAGTGGAACTGTTTACCTGGCTGACATTCTCTTCTGTGAGTCAGCCCTCTTTTATTTCTCTGAGGTAAAGTCTGCATTTCCTTTCACACTCTGTTAGAGCATTCCAGCCTCTGAACTAGAAATGCTGGGGCCCCCTCTATAGAAAATAACACGGAAGAGCCAAGTCATTTCCAAAAAGATCAATTGGAATGACACAGTACTATTTTAAGTTGTATCTAATGGCAAGGGTACTTTGATGGCGTGTTAGAGTAGAGAATGTGAAAATTCAGTGTAAGATAACTCTAATTTTGAAAAACTTATTAAAAATCTGCTTATAAGAGAATGCATGTTTTTTTTTTAATTTTTTTTTTCAACGTTTATTTATTTTTTTGGGGACAGAGAGAGACAGCATGAACGGGGGAGGGGCAGAGAGAGAGGGAGACACAGAATCGGAAACAGGCTCCAGGCTCCGAGCCATCAGCCCAGAGCCTGACGCGGGGCTCGAACTCACGGACCGCGAGATCGTGACCTGGCTGAAGTCGGACGCTTAACCGACTGCGCCACCCAGGCGCCCCGAGAATGCATATTTTTGATTATTTGGAGCTGTTTTAAAAAACCACAGTTTTGGTACATGATTCCAATGCACACATATTTGCAGACCAGACTTCAGAAGAGAGAAAGAAAAGGAGCAAACGTTTTCCTACTATCGTCCCTTTTACTTCAGCCACTGGATAGGATTTCTCGAGCAATGAATATATTAATCTCTTTGAGGCATACAGTTTAGTGTAATGGTATTTGTTCAGCTTCGGCAAATGAGATGCTTTTGCTGCAAAGCAAATGAGTATTCAGTAGAGATGAGAGGATTTCCAGGCTCACAGAGCGTAACTTGGATACGCTTGACTCTGCCTCTCCCAAGAATAGAGCCCGTTCAGTTGATCTGCTTTCTCACTCCCTCGTTTGCCATCAGCCTAAGTCCAGCATTTGTTCCCGTTACTCTGGCTGCATGGGGTGATGGAAATGATCAGGTATCAAAGATTTGGTCTGGTTAGTTTATTCTGTGTATGTTTGCCAGCGAGGGACCACTAATCCTCTTTACCGTGATTTTTATTCCAGTTCACTTAAGTTTGTATCCGGCAGCGTGGTTGTTTTGTTGTTAGTTTTTATATTTTCTCCCTACAAGAATGGCTTTATGCTTTTCAATCTCAAATAACTGTAAGTTGTTGACTGGCATTAACTGAACAAGTGGATCTGTTTTTGTGTTGTGTTTTGGTGTGTGTGTGTGTGTGTGTGTGTGTGTGTGTGCGTGCGTGTGTGTGTGTGCGCGCGTGCGTGTGTGTCCTGTATTTTAATGGTTGGACTTAGAGATTAGAGATGGGGAGAGAAATCTGTTTATGGTCTTTTTTTCTTCTTTTGTAT